CGGTACACACGGGGTGATGATCACGGTACACACGGGGTGATGATCACGGTACACACGGGGTGATGATCACGGTACACACGGGGTGATGATCTCGGTGCACACGGGGTGATGATCACGGTACACACGGGGTGATGATCACGGTACACACTGGGTGATGATCACGGGCACTCACGGGATAAAATTGATAACTTGATCTTGATGCTTTATTTCTGTAAGTATTTTTCTGGTTTGACATAATAACAGTATAAGTAGTTCACGCGTTTCTTCTTTTAATATTGTGTTATTATTAGGAAAGCGTTTTGGAGCCTCATTGCTGAATGTAAATTATGCATTACATTACTGTATGTCACATTTGTTTTGAATTGATGTATGTAACATATCGATTAGATTACTATATGTGTATATATACAACCCCTGGCAAAAATTATGGAATCACCGGCCTCGGAGGATGTTCATTCAGTTGTTTAACTTGGTAGAAAAAAAGCAGATCACAGACATGACACAAAACTAAAGTCATTTCAAATGGCAACTTTCTGGCTAAGAAACACTATAAGAAATCAAGAAAAAAAATTGTGCAGTCGGTAACGGTTATTTTTTTAGACCAAACAGAGGGAAAAAAAATATAGAATCACTCATTTCTGAGGAAAAAAATTGTGGAATCATGAAAAACAAAAGAACGCTCCAACACATCACTAGTATTTTGTTGCATCACCTCTGGCTTTTATAACAGCTTGTAGTCTCTGAGGCATGGACTTAATGAGTGACAAACAGTACTCTTCATCAATCTGCCTCCAACTTTCTCTGATTGCTGTTGCCAGATCAGCTTTGCAGGTTGGAGCCGTGTCATGGACCATTTTCTTCAACTTCCACCGAAGATTTTCAATTGGATTAAGATCCGGACTATTTGCAGGCTATGACATTGACCTTATGTGTCTTTTTCAAGGAATGTTTTCACAGTTTTTGCTCTATGGCAAGATGCATTATCATCTTGAAAAATGATTTCATCAAACCCAAACATTTCAATTGATGGGATAAGAAAAGTGTCCATAATATCAATGTAAACTTGTGCATTAATTGAAGATGTAATGACAGCCATCTCATCAGTGCCTTTACCTGACATGCAGCCCCATATCGTCAATGACTGTGGAAATTTGCATGTTCTCTTAAGGCAGTCATCTTTATAAATCTCGTTGGAACAGCACCAAACAAAAGTTCCAGCATCATCACCTTGCCCAATGCAGATTCGAGATTCATCACTGAATATGACTTTCATCCAGTCATCCACAGTCCACGATTGCTTTTCCTTAGCCCTTGTTTTTTTAGCCTTAGCCTAACCTTGTTTTTTTTCTGTTTTGATGTTAATGATGGCTTTCATTTAGCTTTTCTGTATGTAAATCCCATTTCCTTTAGGCGGTTTCTTACAGTTCGGTCACAGACGTTAACTCCAGTTTCCTCCCATTCGTTCCTCATTTGTTTTGTTGTGCATTTTCGGTTTTTGAGACATATTGCTTTAAGTTTTCTGTCTTGACGCTCTGATGTCTTCCTTGGTCTACCAGTATGTTTGCCTTTAACAACCTTCCCATGTTGTTTGTATTTGGTCCATATTTTAGACACAGCTGACTGTGAACAACCAACATCTTTTGCAACATTGCGCGATGATTTACCCTCTTTTAAGAGTTTGATAATCCTCTCCTTTGTTTCAATTGACATCTCTCGTTTTGGAGCCATGATTCATGTCAGTCCACTTAGTGCAGCAGCTCTCCAAGGTGTGATCACTCCTTTGTAGATGTAGACTAACGAGCAGATCTAATTTGATGCAGGTGTTAGTTTTGGGGATGAAAATTTACAGGGTGATTCCATAATTTTTTCCTCAGAATTGAGTGATTCCATATTTTTTTCCCTCTGCTTGGTCTAAAAAAATAACCGTTACCGACTGCACAATTTTTTTTTTATTTCTTATAGGTAGTGTTTCTTAAAGCCAGAAAGTTGCCATTTGAAATTACTTTAGTTTTGTGTCATTTCTGTGATCTGCTTTTTTCTACAAAGTTAAACAACTGAATGAACATCCTCCGAGGCCGGTGATTCCATAATTTTTGCCAGGGGTTGTATATACATACTTTAGGAAATATATGCATCACATAATTTACCCTTTGCGACACACACATTACAATATATACTGTGCGTGAAGTATACTCAGTAACAGTCATTACGTGCGTACGCCCCGCCGCTTCATTTCTCTTCTTCGCCAAATCTAATTTTGCCAACTACTCGCAGTTTCTCGGGCACCTCATCGTGGTTGTGGGGGACGAACTCCGCCCCTGCCTCAGTCCTCAGCCAGCATCACGACCCTTCACCATCTTTTTGTCCTCAAAGCGTCACCACACCGCATCACTTGCCCGCCATCGTATCCGCGATCTGAATAATCTCGAAACCTTTGCATAAATTGCTTGAATCTCGGGCGACTCTCGCTCATTGCCATGCATCACTATTGCTACATCGAATGTCGTGCACGTGTCGCATACATCAGGATGATGAACGTTGATCTAGCAGTGTGCTGTTGATAGCATCCTACCAGCATAGCCATGACATCATTGCCGCACACTTCCATCCATAAACTGTCTGCTGTCGCTGTTCTTGAAGACCCGAGTTCATCACTTTAGGTTACCAGTTTCGTTCCGTCGCTGCTTGTGATGGATGCCTTCGTTTTGCACGTTTTATTGTATTATTACCTAAATCATTACATGTATCGTCATCATGTATGTTTCTCGCGATGTCGTAGCAGAGATCATGGCCGTTACCGATATACGAATCCGTATTTCCAACTGCTCGTGCTCTCGACGACTGACTCGGCGTTTTCGATCCTTACTTATGTCGGTTGTTTTATTAATTTGTGTAACCTTGTCATGTTTTATTCATTGTTTATAAGACGAATCTTCATCCCGTGAGGAATGAACATTAATCACGTTATTGTCAATTTGTAATGACAATATGATCTTTACATGTAATTTTCGTTCTAGCGATGACGTACAGTCCCACTATCGCCCACCATTACACAGTTCATGACTCGCCTCACTATCACTCACCATTACACAGTTCATGTCTCGCTTCACTATCACTCACCATTACACAGTTCATGACACACCTCACTATCACTCGCTATTAGATAGTCTAGCAGTTCACAATCACTTCCTCTCTGCCGCTGTGCAGAGCGTCGTTGTTTCGCCTCACCCTCCTAGGCGATGCTATGGTCTGCCGTGTTCTGGTCTGTACTCTTCTGTGATCTATTTGGTTATAATTTTTCTTGTGCTGCTAGAGTGCTCTGCATTTAATTTGTATTAAGATACAAGTCTTGTTCTATCATGCCTCCTTGTAGGGATCACTGGAATATTGAAGTTGATTGCGTAGTGCGTGCAAATGTACGTGGAGCTTTACCTTAGTTATAGGCATGAATAAAAAATAAGCATAGCTTGTGCCCTGTATCATGGCTCGAATGACTTTACTCGTTGTACAGCGGCAACCTCTCACGTACTTCATCCAATTTTTCATCGTCTTATAGCTACTGCTGATCTTACGAGCTTTTCTCCGCATTCTAATGCTTTGTCCACGGAGCAAAATTTTGTGTCATTCAGCTCCGTTGTCTCTTTGGTTTTCACGGCATTATCATTTTATTATTATGTAATAAGTATTGTATTTCCATTAGCTTTACGTTTAATTAATAAATGTGTGTTTTATTTTAGATGCTCACTCAGGTTAGGATGTTCTTGTGCTATCGACGAGCTGATTAGAGAAGTAATGACGAAGCAATGTTATAACTTCCTACCTTTTGACATTTTACAGAAATGCATTTCTTCACATTTTGCCAGATATTGTGGAATTCCTTGTTAATGTTCACCCCTGGTTATGTGTAGTTCCTCATAGTCATCTCCTGGAAATATGCATACAATATCGCTTCCGTCTAAGTTATCATTAACATCATTGGGATAGATGACTACGCCAGAGCATCTGCCTTCGTACATATTCGATAGACCGTTCACCGTTTTCTGGGGGTGCATATTACTTTCGTTAAAGTGTTCTAGAAGGTTTAAATTCTGTCAGTCTAGGAATAGATATGTCATACTCGTTGTTATTTACTTCATATTAAGTACTAACTCTGCGAACGTCTGTGTGAAATTTACACCTGTAGAAAATTGTTCCACGTTCACTTCGTCTATAGTTTCTATTCTTTCAATAGCTATTGCTGCTGGAATTGTCACGCATTAGAATTCTCAAGCGATCTTCCAATTGAATCTGAAGGTAATAGTGTTTTTACGATTGCATTATCACCTTAGTCGTAAGTTAGGGAGCGTATTTACTTTTATTAATTGTAGGCGTATGAGTTAATTATGAGTGGATAGCTGCGTGTTACTGTAATCGCTGCAATGCTACTGCCTGTGTTAATTGTTACTCGTGCACTAACTCTCGCGTGAATGTCATGCGCCCTCTTGACTACAACGGCAGTTTAGGATCGGCTTAACTCGTAGCTTTGTATAACTGCGCTATAGGCTGGCAAGCCTACACATCATATTTTCATTCATATATCTGGTCGCTCTTAGCACTCCTGAGTATTGCTGTTTAAAATACGCAAGGAATGGGAATATGTACGTGTCGCAATGGTCAAGAAAAACTCGATCCTTATTCTTGTCAACCAGAAATGATTTACTTCTCGCTGCGTCCGAAGACTATTTTAGTCGAGCTCTCGACGCTCATTTTTAAGATGGATGAGTTTTTTCAAGCCTTGCTTCTACCGCGTGATCACTAGGTGTCTTTGGCCTTCGGTTTTTGATTTTTCATTAATACTTGAGTGCTCCACTAGATAATTGTGAAATTTTAAGCTATACTTTGCTGGCTCATGAGGTGTGCTTGCCTTGTTATTTGGCTTGGATGTTCTACGGAACTGGCCGTGATCTTCGCTGAACATGTACATACATCCTTGGTTAATATGAATCAAGCGACTGTCCATTTCTATGCCGTGAATTTCTTGACTTGTCCCGTTCACCAACTTTATGTGACTAATTTGTGTGTGAATGATAGCGTAGTGTAAGTATATAAATGCATATATTTATTTTGTCTAGCTCCAGCGAACAACGGTTCTTAAGATACTCGAAAGAATAAAGGACTTTTTTTACCCTTCAATATTTAATTCATCAATACTCGAACTTCTAATACTTTTTAATGTATCAATATGTGATGCAGCCAAACTTGAAAGTTTCATTGCTTCTTGCACTTATATTGAAGCCTCTCATCGAAGATTCTGCTGTGAAGAAACATGATTTAATCTGAATCTTGAATACAGGTTGTTCATCAAATAGTTGGACGTTTTCTGCTTATGTTTCATTAAATAATGAATACATCCAAACGAAATCTTTCAGAACTCACCAAAAATTAGAAACTTTTTGAAAAACACATTTGATGAACTAATCTATATCGTCGTTCGAGACGAAAACCCTCGTAAATCACTTCCGGTAGGCACGGCTAATACTGGTTGAAATTTTCTTGTTCCTGGGCCGAATTATAGGAAATAAACACGATTTCCCTACGCCGTTAGCCAATCACAGAGGCCGGGCTCTGCAAGCCAAACCCACCAATCTTGGATGAGTAAACGGCCGCTACGTTTACTTAGGCCGCTACATACGCTTGTGCAAGTTTTGTTAGCACGGCTCCGCTACGTTTACTTAGGACGCTACATACACTTGTGCAAGTTTTGTTAGTACGGCTCATCTACGTGTACATTTGTTAGCACGGCTCCGCTACGTGTACTTAGGCCGCTACATACACTTGTGCAAGTTTTGTTAGTACGGCTCCGCTACGTGTATTTAGGCCGCTACATACACTTATGCAAGTTTTGTTAGTACGGCCTCTGTACTCGACATTCCTGGAACTGCTGCGCGCTCATCGATGAAGACAGCAGTCTGGAGCTTGCATGCTTGCAACCGCTAGACCAGCCGTTTTCTCCTAGCCGACGTCTCGTCCATTGAATGCATGTATTTTAAATATATTTAAAACATTTCGGAGACCAGCTCCATTATCATCAGTTCAAGATCTTCAGGAACACCAGGATAACCAATCGCAGGACGTTAGATTATTGTGAACTATGAACGATTGAAAAATAAGGAGCTTTTGGCAACAAAATGTAGAAAACGCAATCATTTCAACACCTACCAACCTTGAAATCACTATCATTTTTACACCCTACAGATTATTTTAGTGTTCATTCATGAAGATTATGTTCCTGTGTAAAGTTTTTAAACAAAATACCCATCATTTGATTTTAAAATTGAACTGGTTGCTTGGAAATTCAAAATATGCTTTGTTACTGTTATCATGTAATCTCATTTGAACAACAATGCAACAATTCTTATAAAAACCTTAACTTAATGGTACGGAGACAAAAGTGGAACACAACACGACTCCACTACTGCTGATCTTAAACATCATTGTTAACAACATGCGTGACGAGAGGAAAACCAAAGTCGTTGTTTAGTAAAATAGAAGTGTCGGCACCAAAGAAGTAGGCCCATGGCCTGTTGCCGATTCTTGTACTTATCGTGGCTTGATTACACAAGGGATCCCGTTTTTAAACCTGATATTTCCATAACTGACGATTGTTTTGCTTCAAGTGCGGGGAAGCGAGAACATGGACAGAAGGAAATGTACCGGTTGGCTCACAGCTCTGACGTCTACGGCTTGTGGTTCAAATGCCCTACTGATAAGTGGGATTAGAATTGTCAATCCGAGAAATAGGCTTTTGAATCAGCAGCCTCTTGTTTGCGTGTCTTTGGGTCATTTGGTTCTACAAAATCCACCTCCGAAATGATTAAAATCATACAGGTTTGCATCGTTACTCTAAAAAATCAACGGTGCAGTTGCACTAGGAAAATTTCCACGAAATGATTTACTAACAGTAATGAGCGAGAAGTCCGTGAAAAATAGAACAAAATAAATACGAATGAAGATTCTAGGATTACCGCTGCAGCGAAATCTCGTCAACGATTGTATCGCCGCTCTTACGTAGGCTGTTGTGTTCTCGAAACCTGATTCTTGTTATCATTTCGATGTATTAGTAATGTGCGTCAAACTTACATAACTTCTCTCGCAATTAAAAACTTGCCAATTTCATTCTAAGAAAATTAAATTTACACTGCTGCTTGCTTGATTAACCGTTTAAAAGTATTATACTGTCACAAACTATAGATAATGTGATGATCGCCGGGTGGAAACTTTAAAGCCAGATTTACGACAACCAAGCGAGGATTGCAAAATTACCTTGTTACTTTTATATCTTATTTATCTTTATGTTCGTTAAAAGGGTTGCCTTCATGTCGCTTCACTATAACAACTTTACGTACATTGTAGACATCATTCAAGGCACACAACATGAGATGGGTTCTCTCGCCATCGAGCTACGAGTTTCCAACTTATGCAGAATGTTTTCAATAGTTTACGGTATTATCTTCTCATATAGCTTGTAGTTTAACACGATAGTTTTTAAATGAAATGATAAAAACTTATAACAATAATCGTAGCCCCTGTATCAAAGCGCATATCTACGAACACGTTACTTCTTGAACGCGCACCTGCACGAGTTGAGACTGTACTCAAAATTTAGATGAGAGTGCACTCAAAATTGAAGTTATGAGACTACTCAAAATTTAGATGAGAGTGCACTCAAAATTGAAGTTATGAGACTACTCAAAATTTAGATGAGAGTGCACTCAAAATTGAAGTTATGAGACTACTCAAAATTTAGATGAGAGTGCACTCAAAATTGAAGTTATGAGACTACTCAAAATTTAGATGAGAGTGCACTCAAAATTGAAGTTATGAGACTACTCAAAATTGAGAATGAGACTGCACTCAAAATTGAAGTTAGGAGACTGCACTCAAAATTGAGATTATGAGACTGCACTCAAAATGGAAGTTATGAGACTGCACTCAAAATTGAAGTTAGGAGACTGCACTCAAAATTGAGATTATGAGATTGCACTCAAAATGAAAGTTATGAAACTGCACTCAAGTTGGAAGTTATGAGACTGTACTCAAAATGGAAGTTATGAGACTGCACTCAAAATTGAAGTTAGGAGACTGCACTCCAAATTGAGATTATGAGACTGTACTCAAAATGGAAGTTATGAGACCAATCAAAATTGAGGTTTGAGACTGCACTCAAAATTTAAGTTATGAGACTGCACTAAAAATTGAAGTTATGAGACTGTACTCTAATTGAGATTGTGAAACTACACTCATAATTAAGGTTATGAGACTGCACTCAAAATTGAGATTATGAATGTCCAGGCTTGACTGTACCATCGAGTTGTGTGTGAGTAAACTAAGATATTCGATATACACGGACGGGAAGATGAATTACTCAGAACTCCTGCTTCTTGAACCAGCAGAGGATGGACACCCAGATGATTTGGCAGCCTCCCACGAACACCACGCGCACGTGTGGCGGCAGCAGCTTGAAGTTCACAAAGTTCGCTGGTACCCAAAAACAGCTCGCCGTCTGAAATTAAAAAAAAGTACTGTAGAAAATATATTTTAAAAATTGATGACTGACAGTTATTTTTTCGACAAAACATAACAGAAAAGTAAGTTTAAGTACGAATTTCAGTTTCTTCAATACTGATAAATCAAAGAATAAACTTTACTTCACGCGTGGGGTAAATAGAAAGAGATCATTTTTATTTAAAAACGCGCATGTCTTAACTGTTAAGCTTTCGACATGATCTTTAATTCGTCAACTCAATTAACAAACTATTGAGTATTTTTGACTGATTTTTTAGCACAATCGAAAATCTAAACTGACTGAACAGCCGACCTCTCTTTTACGATTGCTTTAAATATTAGCGTACCAAGCTTTATCAGCGTACCAAGCATTTCGTAGACGAAGAACTTAGCATAGGGGCAAGCACTCCCTAAACCGAAGAACTTAGTATAAAGACACGCACTCCCTAAGCTGAAGAACTTAGTATAGGGGCGCGCACTCCCTAAGCTGGAGAACTTAGTACACGAGCAAACACTTCCTAAACTGAAGAGCTTACTTTAAAAACATGCACTCGCTAAGCTGAAGAACTTATTATGAAAGTACGCACTCATTAAGCTGAAGAATTTAGTATAGAGGCAAGCACTCATTAAGCTGAAGAACTTAGTACACGAGAAAGCACTCACACATCATCACGAGCTTAGTATACGAGCAAGCCAGAGCTAAAGAACTTAGTATACTAGCACCTACAATGAACGTTGGGATGAGTTTGGCTCTCCACTCGGCCAGGAGATCGTCCTTGCGTTCCATAGCGCTCATTCCTGCAAACGAATCGGCATGAGCACTGAGCAGACAAGATGACATGTGTCATAATATAACATAACATAACATAACATAACATAACATTACATAACATAACATTACATAACATAACATTACATAACATAACATAACATAACATAACATGGTGATGTCGGCACTGAAGTGTAGGCCTGATTCTTGTAATTTTCGTGCCTTGTTCACAGAAGATCTAAAATCGTGTCATTTGACCGCATCTTTTCAAGACTAACGATAGTTTGAAATGGCTACTAGACTTCCTAGTCATGCATATTACTTAAGCTTTAGTTGCACTACTATCGTGGGACAGTCGAACTACAATCTTTCTTGAGGTTCATGCGTCACTCTACATGCTGTCCATTTTCATGCTAGTTCATCAAATTCTCATTTATATTTCGTGAATGGATTATGAATCGACCTAGACGCTTGTCACTCTGAATTATTTTGTTTGAAGCTTGTAGTCGGCTTGGTGGTAACGTAAATAATTCAGCACAATTTTGACTGAATAAGTTCCAAAAACTGGATCTTCACAGCTAAGGAAAAATTGTGCTTAAAAGCAGTGCAAATCAAGGGGAAAATGACAGATCAAGGCCCGTGTAGAGAGCCGAGACCTCGGGCATTATGGGCTGCTTCCTAAGAGGTTCCTTCACTAAATTTGTTAACCTTGATTCTTCCTGTAAATGAGACAACAATTTGAAATTTTTCACACCCGTCTAGGTATTCTTTGAAAACAAGTAACTGATCTCTGAGAGCACTTAGCTATTCTTTGAGAGCCCGCAGCTACTCTTTGAGAGCACTTAGCTATTCTTTGAGAGCCCGCAGCTACTCTTTGAGAGCACATAGCTACTCTTTGAGAGCACTTAGCTATTCTTTGAGAGCACGCAGCTACTCTTTGAGAGCACATAGCTACTCTTTGAGAGCACAGAGCTATACTTTGAGAGCACAGAGCTACTCTTTGACAGCACAGAGCTACTCTTTGACAGCACAGAGCTACTCTTTGACAGCACAGAGCTACTCTTTGACAGCACATAGCTACTCTTTGACAGCACAGAACTTTTCTTTTAGAGCACATAGCACTCTGAGAGCAGCTCACCGACATAGAAGAGCGTCAGGTTGATGGGTGTGATGACGAGTGCGTCGATAGCCAGCTTGCGGATGGCCATGGGGCCGCTGTTGCCGGGGAACCGTGCGTCCAGATACTTGTACCTGCAACGGCAACAATACCGTACACGTCTGGTCACTAGATACCTGTACCTGCCACGGCAGCAATACACGTCTGGTATCAGATACTTGTACCTGCAACGGCAGCAATACACGTCTGGTATCAGATACAAAAGCAATATAATTCTATACAAAGAGCATAGTAGATGTAAAGCTATAAGAGGCAGTCAACTAACGCGTGGTAGAGGGTGTGTGGCAGGACGCAGGTGCCCATCACCCCAAACCTCGCCAGAGAGCCCGTGTCTACGGGAGGGTAGTCGGCTCCTGGCTCGGGCGGCTCCTGGAACATCATTGAGAGATTAGGCTTCTAATGCAAACAAGCTATTACCGTATACATTTTACTTCAGCCTCGATAATATAATTATTTGATTTTAGTATGTTTACAGTGACAGTGATCTTACTTTGAATATTACTTCATCTAGAGTCCGAAAATATTTGTCGAACAAATTTCGCCTGACAATGTGGCCGCAGCCACGCAACTAAAAGGAAAAAGCCTACTCTCTCCTAAGCCTTGTATTTTTGTATGAGCTTTTGTATATACCCTCTTTATGGACTCGTAAATATTGCTTCCAAATTCGCATTTTCCCATCTCGAACGATTAAAAGGAATGTACAGTATTAATTTTATTTTGATTTGCGAGACACCTCTGAGCTTCAATGCTTAAATTGAAAGCAGTGCCTAATTTCAATAATTGTCCCGAATAACCACCAATGTAAGATATTTTTTGCACATTTTTGAGAAAAGATAATATTTCGCCTAATATCTTTATAGGCCTATAAAAATGAAAAAAATTCACAACAATCTTACAGCCCGGCTTTCATCTCGGCAAAAAATATTCTATCTTACAATATATAATATTCTATAACAATACGATGACTAGCTACATTCTATCATTTAACATGTCATCTGTCAACACGAAACTAAAATAATGTCTAATTATAATAAGTAAAGTTGTGTTATAAAGTTAAATATGGAAACAAATTCTGCAGATAATAACCGCCATCATCAACAATCTTCAATCAGTAATAACAAATAAAGGATACAAATAAAATTATTATAATTGCGAAGTGATATAATTTCTGAAGTTAGGCAGCTGCGACCAGTAAGCTGGTCGAGATGCGAGCATTACAGGCTTATTACCGATAAGTCCTAAAGCAGATCGCTTATCACAACAGGGCTGCTAATCAGTACGATACTAACCAGCAGCTGTCTGTCCAAGTTTTAAAAGGCAATATCATAAAAGATAGCAAATAACTCACTAGAAATTCGAACTGATTATTTTTTATCCTTTTCTTTTTCGACACTGAAAGAGAAAGTGGACTTGCCACAGAACTAAACTAAAAGAAACGATGATTGTGACTGTAGCACGGTAGCTGCCATACCACTGAACTGAAAGTAACGATGATTGTGACTGAATCACGGTAGGTGCCACACAACTGAACTGAAAAAAACGATGGTTGTTACCGTAGCACGGTATCTGCCATGCCACTGAACTGAAAGAAACGATGATTGTGACCGGATCACGGTAACTATATGCAGTTCAAGGCCGCCGTACTGACAAAGAGAAATTCAGTGATGATTCTCCTCCCTTTCGATAGATGTTTGAAGTATTCACAGACGATAACCTCGCTTCACTCTCTATGGTCATGTCGCACACGATGACTTCGCAGGTACACGGGGCTGGTGTGATAACAGCTCTAGTCCAGCGTGACACGCGCCTGGTGCATAGTAACGGATTAGTACATCTGGCAACCCAACACAACGCAATAGCCTGGCAACACAACACTACAACGCAATAGCCTGGCAACACAACACAACAACGCAATAGCCTGGCAACCCAGCACAACAACTCAATAGCCTGGCAGCACAACACAACAACGCAATAGCCTGGCAGCACAACACAACAACGCAATAGCCTGGCAGCACAACACAACAACGCAATAGCCTGGCAGCACAACACAACGCAATAGCCTTGATCCCAACACCAGCAACAGAAATGATTTGAGCCTCGGCACAGGGTCATCACACTTGCTGTGATGAACCTCAAGGTCACAGACCTATCAGTTGATGCCACCGCAATCACATAGCTCCTCGATGCCGCTCATGCACCTTACCTTACCACTCCAGGTGCAAGTGTATGGATGAGTTGGCCGTCATTCACCCTCTAATACTTACATAGCTCCTCGATGTATTCATACCAGCTGGTCAAGTAATAATAAGAGAAAAATATATAAATAATACAACACAAAACACATCTAGTGTTGTTCTATATTCGAGGATTCTCACCGATGTATACCTCCTGAACATTTGCTGCCCGAACTCAGCAGCGACGTAGAGTGTCCCGTAAACAATGGTGTTGGTGATCACTGGTTGTTTCTTCAAAGCTCCCACCAGTGCCTGCATCTTGATTAGTCTTCAAGAGACACCGATATCACAAACTCGAGGTAAAATCTCCTCAAAATCACATCTGAAATTTTCTTACGCTTGTAGTTAAATGTTAAAATAACCGCACTGTGTTCCCATGGTCAACACGCACAATTGGGAACATAGAAGAAGCCCCTAAAAATGCCGGGAAAATACTTCTAATATTATACCTAATCTGAAAATATAAAATTCATAGTTCATTGGACAGTAAAGTGATACATTTACGGATTAATATTCTATGCAAACTAACAATCTAAATTGAAGATGCTTTTAAAGCCAATTGGACGCGTTATATATGGGTAAGTTCGAGCTGTAACTGCAGTCACTTCTTGACTAGATGAACCGTAACAGCTCCTAGTGTTGTTCATTTCCGCATTGTATCCGTAAATGTGCTAAAATTGATGCTAATCCAGCAGCTTCAATTCCGAAAATAGATTTAAATTGTAACATCTAATATTCAACAACTATTAATTTTTTAAGAGTATCAACATAAAGTGATATTATAAATATCTCTTCCGTTTTGTACCGAAAATTTAAAAGCAAAAATATGGCAAGCAACCTAAACAATATTATAATCATTAGAAGTGAATGGTGACAGGATTAACCCTTCACTACAGGATTAACAATTCACATTATAAGTCAATGATGAATTATCATATATTTATTTATTCACTAACCAAGATTAGAACTACATGACAGTCTGAGCTTCCTATAATAACACAACGTCGTAGCGAAACCTCACGTGTTGTTAATTTCGCTTGCACATATGAAACTTTGCAATGACAATGATCATTTCGCGGTTCTGGCAGCAGAAAATGTCGTTTCATCAACCTCTAGTAATAGAATTCATCATTTTGAGAGAGAGAAATATCGTTTTTTAAAGATTTAAGGACGAGTGATCAGTTTTAGAAGTTATTCAAACTCAAGCCTCGACCTCCTGGCAGAGGCATGCCAGGGCATAGTTTGCCTTCCTCAGTCCCCACAAGTCGGGACGTGACATGGAATCCTAACCTCGATCAACGTATTCCATCTATGAAGATTGTCGTCAAATATATTTTGAATGAGTACATTTACATAGAAAAAATTAGTTCTCCTTATTTAGATTTTCACTAATGAACACATAAATGTTAGCAATTCATGAGTCTATGAGTGTTTCTTCGTTTAGTGTTTCTACGTTTGACTCGGACTCTGCCTCCCTAATAACATATCATGATATTGGGCCTCTTAGCGACTATTTTAATTTGCAGTTGGTAATTCAGCAAAAATTAGAAAAATGCAAAGTACATTCAATATAATTCCGTAAACGTCTAAATTTCATACATTTAATTGACAAAATTTCAAGTTATAGTTATCTGCACCCGATCTAGGATATATGGGCAAAAATTGTGAAAATAACCCGTTTATGCAGTTCACATGTAAAACAGTACTACCGTCATTATATTATATTAATTATTATTCATTGTCAATCCGACAATCGTGATGATGCGTAACTCTACACACTATAGTATAGAGAGGATAAAATACACCGCATTTCACAGTGTCATGAATGATTCGATCTTCAGAGAAATCTTAAAATAAGTAATATTTTTACAGTGTTGAAATTAAAACAAAAATATTGGCTTAGAAGCAACGAAGGACATTAAGATCTAAAACACATCCTATAGATCTGGACCCGCACGCGCACTCAAACCTCATCTGGCGACACCTGCCGCTACACTGCCAGGGAGCGCGGCGCGCCTACTTGCGGACTGCACCAAACCCTGAGATCACTGCTGGTCAAACGGCAACAACGAGTGCGTTCGTACGTCGCCCCTTCCCTTCAGAATGTCCCTGTCACTAAACATTGCTTTACTTTCTCGATTTCCGGACATACATAGAACTGGATTTCGAACGTTTCCGTGTTTAATATTCAAGCACTTGCTTCACTATGCTCATACAGTACGAAGTATATCCACATGATGCAGGTAAGAAATTACTAGCTTTCTCGGCTCGACATGCTTGTTAATAATGAAAGCAAGGTCTGTGCCAACTGGACTATTTCGTGAGACGCCAGCTGTTATTCTTCGGTTGTAGCGATAATTTCTTTATCGCATCGCCAGCTCCATGCAATTCTGGTAGGGAATTCCCTGCTTATTAAGGGTGATCACTGTGATAATTAAAAAAATAAAAATACAAGTGAAATAATACGATTCCCAATCCGCTGAGGAGTTGGTGTGCGAGACGCACATTTTTTATGATTGTTTAAAAATGCTGATTAAATTGTGTGAAAATTAAGTGGCAAAAAAAATAGCTTTCCGAGCAGACAGTTCAACCGTGCCGGCAGGTCACCGCTGCCCCTCCCAAGGCAAGGGTGTGGCTGGGGGTGGGGAAGAAGGTTAGGGGGGCAGGCTAAGGGGGTGAATGGCGCAAGCGACTGAGCGTGAGTTTTACGGGGACAGAATAGTGGTGCAGAAGCCTGGCATTAGATACTAAATGTTGTGCCAATAGCCCATTCATTTGTTTGTGTGGCTGCTTGTAACCAAAAAAAGCTATTCGTAACCAAAGAAAACCATTTGAAATTTAACATACACGAAAAAATGCATCTCATACACTTGCTTGTTGCCTAACCGACTTGTATGAATTGTAACGCATAGGAATATAGACATCCACTCATTGATAACCGTCATGTATTTACCTTGATAAGTGGACATAATGTTTTTCAATTCCGTACCTACGAGATAATGCAGTTCATGCGTGCAATGGTGGACCCATTACAAGAATTCGTAGCATCGCCGGCACCCGGTACTGGCGTCTCGTGGAATTAGTCCTGATATATCAAGACCAATTCTGAGGAGCATTGATTGAACTTTACTGTCTACTTCCTGTTGCAAAAGTAACGAAAATTATCAAGTCAAGTTGTATTTCCTCTCATTATGTTCAGACATGTTTGGCTGGAAAATGCGCAATTGCGCATGTTCTACACGTGTTCAGTCGTCGTTACAGGCCACGTTGGTAACGTAAATTCATTAGTGATCATCCGATCAAGATACTTAATCTTTATACAAGGTAAGAACTTCTTTAGTTATAAGCGTATACGTATATGCAGTACGTACCGGTTATGTGTACGTCACTGACGTACACATGAGAAAATGCTGAATCCTGTCTGTTACAAGTATTAAGATCACTTGACTGTTTAAATCGCAAGTTTATCAAGAATGTAAATGCAAATAAAATAGCCAGAAAATTCACCATTTCTTATTAAGGAAAACGTTACGGAGTCCAGCTCCATCATTAGTTAAAACCTAGAACGCAGATACAAACAATTAGCAAATAAATTCACACTGAAGCATAAATCGTCAAATGAAAACAAATAAGAATGAAGTAAATATGAGCAGAAAAACTTATCTATTTAAAATTTCGAGGGGATATGAACTGTTGGCGGCATTTAAACTAGGTTTTCCTTTAAAAATATAAAGGGACTCTAAATTATTATAAAGGGAGGCTAAAATTATAAATGGAGGCTAAAATTCGAAAAATCACTATCGGACACCGGCACGTTGCACTGCTCGGCATGAACGCGTACTGCTGAATGAGGGGGATGCGGAAGCAGGCTTCCTGTTCTAAAACTCCTTCCCTTGTGCTCCGCCACCCTAGTATAAAAGTTGCGAGATGCCATACCGACATAGGCAGATGCGCATAGCGCACAACTATATTGATAAACTAGGGACGATCGCATAGGAACAGGGAGTGTATCTTTATACCTGAAAAAAGAACTGATTTTAAAATTATTTACCAGCAATACATGACGATTTACATTTGGGAGGTATTTAGAGAACAAACCTTTCAACTCTTTAGCCATAGACTCAGAAGCGGGACCAAAGTAAGGAAATGAACAATAAACAGCATTCCTATCGTCACGTTGGGAACAACCTCAGAATATTGCTTAGACAAAATTTCTTAATTTAAGTATATACCAATTTCGACAGAAACCCATTAAGTGAAAACGTATTGCGTACAAGCTCAAATTCAGAGCGCATAGTATTGAGAGTAGAGTAAATCATGTAAATGCCCATAAATGTTTGAATACCATTTAATTTGAAACGAAGTAAACACAAGCCAAAAAACACCTGTCTGTTCCACCTGTACACATAAGAAAATGTTGAATCCTGTCTGTTTTATCGAGGCGTATCTTATATTTATAGAGGAATAGCTATGAAGTTAGGGAAGCCAATCCTCAGGTTATCCTTGAGCTACAAATTTTTCAGCTGCTCAGTCAAAGAAGACTTTGAATTTTCCGAAAATGGGCCGAGAAATCTTTGACATTTTACATTATCTTTTCTGTTATAAAATTTTGAGTGTTATTGGCTACAAGAAGCTGGATCTTATTTTCAGAGCTGGGCAGCGCTACTTGGAAATGTAGCGGCGCTACCGCTACCGCTACATGCTCTAAATGTAGCGGGCGCTACCGCTACCGCTACATGCTCTAAATGTAGCGGGCGCTACCGCTACCGCTACATGCTCTAAATGTAGCGGGCGCTACCGCTACCGCTACATGCTCTAAATGTAGCGGGCGCTACCGCTACCGCTACATGCTCTAAATGTAGCGGGCGCTACCGCTACCGCTACATGCTCTAAATGTAGCGGGCGCTACCGCTACCGCTACATCCACTAGATTGTAACGGGCGCTACCGCTACCGCTACAGTAAAATGTAGCGCGCTACATTAGCCGCTACAATGGCCAAAATTATTGGAAATCTCTAAATATTTATTGTTCTGCTATTGGGATTTACTCATTAACATTTAATGATAATAAAACATTTTTAAAACATATCAATGTAACTTTATTGCAATTAACCTAACCGAACTAGTACGGGTTAGATACAGTAAATAAAAGTTAGTTATTTTTATGTTTTACCTTCCCTACATGGATGTGAACTTTAATCTACCAATCTAAGAAATTATCCAAATATACATATGAAAATCAGTCTTTTTTTGTATATATATGTGGATTATTTTTGAGATTGGTAGATTAAAGTAGACATCCATGTAGGGAAGGTGAAACATAAAAATTACTGTGTAAAAGTAACTGTGAGCTAACTGAAAGATGAAAAAATACCTGTAAGTGGTAACTGGTAACAACTTAACAAGTAACAGCTAATATGTTGACTCTAGTAACAGGTTGAGGTTGACAACATTACACCGAAATCTTTCGTACA